TTTGGGAGGGGAAATTTCCCCTTTTTCCCCCCCCCCCCCCCCCTAGATCCGGCCCTGACCAAATAAGTATTTAACACTAATCATCGATACGATGTTTAGAAAGAATGGAAACCTAAATTAAAAATAAAACAAAAATCTAAAGTGTGTTACGTTTGTATTTTGTTCCATATTTATTTGTAGACAAATTGAAGAACATTGAAACATTTGTATTTCAAGATGCTGCCTCACAAGCTTAGATTTTTTTAAGTTAACCGGTTTGCCTGTTACCTACGTATGTACATATGTATGTATGAACCTACATACATTTAAAATTTATGCTAATCAATTTTAATTTATTTCGGTTCATTCTGGTTACAAAAAACCCCCAAATTTGTTTTTACCAAACATTTTCTTTTTATTTTATGTGGCCCATGAACTTGGCGTTGAAGTTATGTAAATTTGTAAACACGTCTAAATTAATAGAATAAAATAAGAAAACTTGTCAAAGGCTGGTAGCAAGTAGCAAGATTCAGTAAGTAAGTTAAGGGTCATTACGCAGTTAAAAAAAAATTACATAGATTGCGTTTAAATCTGTGACAACATTAAAGCATTATTCTTTAGAAATCGATTTTTAACGATTTATTTTTTACCATTTTCTCCATTTTTTTATTTTATTATTATTGTTATAAACGCAGCCGAAGTGCCACTAACTCTGATATATTAATTTTTCACCAAGTTTCAAAGCATTTCTCGTGTATTAAAGGTCACAATGCAAAATATAATTATCCAAAAAGAAAGTAGAATTCATGAACTCTAAAACAGTGCTGTGTTATTACAAAGAGACATTTATGGTTAGAAGTTGTCAGCGTTCACAGAAGTGCTTATTGGATGTTCCAACCATTAAAATGTGTTTTTTTTTTCAAGTATAATAAATATTCATATCATACCAGTAGTGTCCATTTTACTCACGAACTATGAGTCTTGTGCCACCCTTCACAAAATATTGTCTCACCGGTCACAAGCTAGAAATGTTTTTTTATGGCGATTTCGTTTCTACAAAAAATGTTGCCTTCTCATCGCCCTCTTCTTAGTGTTTGTGCCTAGAGGGCAAAGAGAAGGTTGCATTTTTCGGTAGAAACGAAATCGGTATTAATTTTCAAATACTATCATAATGCCATTAAAGCATAAAATCGAGCTTAACGTTCTATTAACTACACATGAGAAAGGCGTTATGAATGAAATATTACAACAACTCAGAAAACGGGTGTCATAGTTGTTCCACCCGTCACTCTTGGAAAAGGTCAATTTTCTGCGTAAATTATATATTTAAGTTTTATACTTTGTTAGTTTCGTTTTAAACTGATATATGACTTCAAGTGTTATCAGCTTGAAGTAGAGTCCGGCCGGTTCCAAATTTTTAAAATAAAATGCGGGAACAAAAAATTGCACTTTATTATACTAAAATTTAAAAAACTGCGTACTCAAAAAAATTCTAAAAAATCTGATTAAACAGTTTCAATTTTTGATGAACATCTGTTAAAATTCGTGAAATTTTGAGAAATGTTCTACAAAGTTTGACATATTGATTTACAAAGTTTTTTTTAGATAGTAAGCTTTATTTTCATAAAAAAAAAATAATAAACATTTTTAAACAAAAAAAAAATAGCAAAAACTTGCTAAAATGTGTCTTCCCTACTTATATTCTCGCTACCGTACATCATAAAAACGATTTTTTTAAAGAAATTTTTTATTTAAACAATCTGGACACCTTGCCAACAATGGCTTTTTTGGACTGAGTAGGCAATTGAGAAGTGAAGTCCTCTCTCGACGTACAAGTACTACTCTCAATAAGTCACTAATCATGGCTGTGTATGAAAAATGACAACATTCTTATGGTTTGATTATGGCAACTTGACGTATCTTACTGGCTCTCACTTAAAAATAAATGGATGTTGCTTTTAATCGAACAGCCGAAACTTAACGTAAGTTCCGTTAAGTTGAGTTGGAATAATCAGGCTCTTAGAGAAGGCCGCTGAAGTGGTCGAAAAAAAATTCTGCGGAAGATTTACTGGGCTTTTCGCGTTGACGATGGCGAATGCCGCAGACAATGGAACGATGAGCTTTACAGCGATCTTCTTAAACATTATGAAGATTAGGACATACACCGCTGCGACCTAACTACATCTATTGTGCTAACCCTTAAGCTGCCTTTACATGAGGCAATTTATTTACGGGCGATAATCGCCTGCAAAATTTGGCTTGCTATCACCATTTACATGAACGATTTTTCTTGAGCAATGTTGAATCGCCTAGAAAATCGCCTAATGTAAATGAAGCATTAGGTAGTCAGTCTTAGCATATTGATGAAGTTAAGCACTTTGGAGGGTTCCAGATTCTGCATGAAGTATTATACGCGGGTTATCACATAATATATGTACCGCGGTTTCCTCCTCCAGAGTCCCAATTTGTGGAGATGGTACCTCAGTCTGCAATGTCCTGGCAGGTACCTGGTGAGAGTTCTTAAGTTTTAGCAGTCACTCAGAGATTTCCAAGAGGGGTTGTCGTGCGCCACTGGGTTGCAACTTTTGAGCACTCAAATCTCCTTAGAAGCTTTGCCGCACATCCTCTAGCCCGCGCGCGGAACTCTTCAAAGCTCTCTGCAGATTTTATATGGACGCGCATCGAGTAAAAGCTCTCTCTGAGCATCACTGCTCTAGATGGACCCCAAAAAGGCTCAGTACCGATTAGGCTGCGTTGGCCACCGCCATTTCGTTAGTGACAGTCCTTTCGTTTCTTTCGAAACGCTCATGGCCCGACTTGCAAGTCAAGTGCTCTTAACGCTGCCTGGCTATCCGACATGTTTATTTTTCTTTTTTTTTTTTACTTTTTCGTCGCGCTTCGTCGGAATTGACATGGATCTAAAAGCTTAAACAGACGGCAGCGTTGATCCGGACTAACTCGGACTTAATCGCGATCAACTGCAGTTAATTCACGAGTTGATCCGGATCAACGCTGCCATCAGTTTATGCTTTAATGGTCGACCAAAGCTTGCCCACGTCAAAACTGAAGGCGCATATGCTGAACTAAGAGCTAAGGAAGGTAAAAGTTACGAGGGTTTGCTGTCCAATCGCCACTTAGGCCCCTATTATGGATCACAACTCAACTTAGTTGCTCTGGCAATAAATTTCGACGAATTAGAATGCGACGCGGCTGTTTAAAAGAGACACACATATTTGGGGAAGCCGTGACCAGAGGCCACGCACTCTCCCTCTCTGCCACTTCTGAAATTCTGAAACTGCCAAGTGTCTAGGTTGATGCATGTGTTACACTAAATCGAAGTGGACTTCAAATATCGTTGAATTGCAGTTTGGGAACGCTATGAAATATTTCTTTAAAGAGGAGCTCAAGGGACCTACATATTCCGCCTTATCATGAGTTTCGTCTGAAAAAAAAAATTCACCCGAAAATTTGTCATCCGCCTTTAGTAAAACCATGGAAACCAAATGAAAAAATTGAACCGGTTCGGGGAAAATGAAACTCATGATAAGGCTGATTATGTATATGTGCACATACGTAAATTTACTATTGAAAAACAAACAAAAAAGCAAAAAACACGCTTTTGCAGGTCATGAATTGATCCAAATTAACAAACTCTTTTATGTTACCTAATAGTATATTACATAAACAAAACAAATTACAATAGAAAACATACAATTTACAAAAATATATACGAAAAAATAAAAAATTAATCACAATTACATACATATGTATTACTAAAATTCCTTCCACATATATTCGTATACATCTAGTTTCCTCTTAGCGCGATGTGAATGTAGTATCCAAGCAATGTTTACAACATGCAAATTTCCTAAGCGCTTCTTGAAACGCTTTAAAATCCACGCCTTCAATTTAGTTTTATCAATCAAATTAGAGTTGATGAAAACATATTTAATAGTTTGAATGTTATCGTCATTTAAATCGTCGAAACACTGGCCACCCAAATACTGGTAAATTAATTTTGCCAATTGTGTATTCTGATCTATACTATAAAAGGTACCACAACAATTGCTAAAGAAGTCCGTAGTGTCGTCGTACAAAATCGTTTCAAGTTTAGCAATCTTTGATTTTGAAGAATCCATAGTTACAAGCTAAAAACAAATTATTTTATCAAAATAAATCTGAAGATACATATATACAAAACTACCAAATCAACTAACTTACATCTTCATCTTGTATGCCATCTAACACTTTCATCAACTGTTCAACATCTGTACATTCCGTAAATGGATCGCCATATTTATCAAATATTTGTGAAAATTCAGCTTCCAACTCATGTGTTATGCAAACCATATCGGTTGGAGTTAATTGCAATTCCTGTCTCTTACAAGTATCCACTAACCATTTCAATTTTGCAATATTATAACGACGCGACTTACATAAAGTTTCAACTCGAAATGTTTTATCACCCGCTACTGATATGCATTTAGGGTCCTGTATAGGATTCTCCACTACTTCACCGCCATTGCTGACTACAATAGCTTTTAGATCCTCTGGCGTGTAGCCGTTTTTCAAACTTGCGCTCAGTATGCAAAATGAGAATCCTTCAAACAGATTTGAACATTGCTCTATCTGCGGTAAGTACAATTTAAAGATTAATGCAATATTTCCTGCGCACTACCTACCTCATCTGGATTGAAGCGCTTTTCATAGGATAATATGCCCAATTTACGGCGCTCGGCCAACGTTAACTTGCGTTTCTTTTGGGGTCCTGTTAAATCTCCCAGTTCAACTTCTCGCTTGTGTATTTTTTTTATACCCCTTTCTCCCTGGAAATGCATATAATAAGCATTTAAGTAGATATCTTAATGAAATATTTCAACCTGAATCATTTCCATATAATCGTGAATTGAAAGAGACTCCTTCCACAGTTTGTCGTTGCGCCACATTTCTATGCGCGGAAAATGCAAAGACTTAGCTAGTGCAAAGGCTGAGGAAGGGGACAAGTCGGTTGCTCTAATTTGCAATATTACCGATTTGCTTGGTTCAATCCACACATCAGGTCTGCCTTCGGGGCTCGTGGCTTTATAATGATACCAATCGGGAGGCGGTTCCATTTTGCTATCTTGCCAATGTTGTTTTAGTGCATCATTTAGTCGTTTACTCTGACGCGTTCTGTTATCAACTTTACCAACACTGTATACGGCATATTGGGTATCCGAAGTGTACTTGAGAACGCCTAGCAAAAATGATTGGATAAATGTACGCGTTCGATTGTAAAAACCACCAATAACGAGTAAATCGAATTCGGTTGTCAGGCCCGCAATGTACTGTGAAAAATTGAAAATAATTGTCAAGAATACGAAGCAATAAAATAAACCCATATGTTACAAACGCACATCTGCCTTTATTTTGTACCACCCACCTCCAACCCGCATACCCGGTTTATAGGTGGAATTTTGCTTCTTCAAAACTACTCCCTCCTGTTTTGAATCCAAAGCTTTCTGGAAGAGCTGCTGGAACTGCTCTACTTCGGTTATCTTAATTGGTCGCATTATTTGCAATATGCCAGGCTCTTCTCCCCGAATAAGCTCGACAACCTTTTGACAACGCTGCGCGTATGGCATCTCCAGAAAACTATTGCCATTAAAATATAACACATCGTAGACCACAAAGCAAGGTCGCCAATTCTTTCTATTGCCCAAATGCTTCACATCCGTATTTTCCCCTTTGTCACGATAACATTTTTGCTGCATATCATAAACCATCATTTCGCCGTCGAGTATTATGGATTGTAAGTCTCCCGGTAAGAGCGATTCAAGTAAAGGAGTCAGTGGTCCGCTCTTATAATTTTCGCCGAAGCTATGGGTGTAATCAATTCCATTGCGCGATATATATTTGAACCGTTCGTTAGCACAGTGCAACTGAAAACGTTCGCCATCCATTTTTGTTTCTAAATAAAGTACGTCCTCAGCCATTAATTGTTCAATACTGCCTCGAAATATTTCACACAGCATTGCTTGTATGTGCTGAAAAGGTTGTACAATTTTGTTCAGATTAAAAGTACCGACGTTCCGGTTCTGCTCGCCTGGAGCCTCTTGCGCTGACATATATTCGGTGCTTATTTTATTGTCTGCAAGCAAACAACAAACCCGTTTCAAATTTGAGCAACGTCTATTCAAATCTCTGGCTTGCGGATGCATGAGCCCGAAAATACGTTGCTCGCCGATGCCGAGATGCATGTTCTTTAACAAAAGCCGTATAAACCACATTTGCTCTTGAGCTGAAGCTATTTCAGCCAAGCGAGTTAGCACCTTTTTTGTGTCTAAAAAGAACTTGAATTAATTACATTCCAAACAATGAAAACAAGGATGAACATTATATCGACAAAATTATCGTTATTTAAACTAAACAAATTCAATCTAACCTTGTCGATCGTCCTCTGCAATAGTGTCCAACATTTGATGCACTTCATACAGGGATAGTTCACTAGGTTCATGTCTACAACGAGGCATCAGCACTGCATAGACGATATCGGCATAGTCTCCTTGAGGTCCATTATAGGTGCGCGCTTGTAAGCGCTGCACATCATTGGCTATTTGGATTAATGACTTATTTTAATTTTCAATTTCAACTAAAGTATTTCATTTAAATACGTACAATCCTTTGGAAGTTGCAACACATCGATGTACACGTTACCGAGCGTTGTTATTTGCAACCCATAAGCTTTTCGCGACATGTCGTCCCGTGGTATCAGGCATCTTAGCACGCTGAAAAAACTGGAGCTACCCTCCTGCAGATTAAATGTTTCAGATTTTGCTTAGAAAGCACAATGGACAATTAGCTCTTACCTCGGGACACTCAGGCGGAACTCCTTGTTCTTTGCGAAATATTTGTCGAAACTTTTGAAATGACTCATAATAGCGACGCAGTATCTTTTCTTTTGAAGCTTGATTTTTAGCATTTTTCACTTTATCGAGCATTGAGCAGATATCCGCGAATTTTATGTTTTTCGATATATCCATGTTGTGAAATTCACATTTGCTTACATTTTTAAGGGGTTGTAAAAAATTTGTATATAAAAATTAAAAAACATCTGTTTTTTCTTTTTGTTTACTGGAAGTCTGGCCGTGTTCAAGGCCTACGTGCTAGAAAGAACAGCTATCAATCGAAAGCGCCCTTTAACACGGTCAGTATTTATCACGATGTTTGAATCGCGACCCATATTGATGGATTGCTGGAACGCGGACGAACGCTACATGTTCAATATTTATCGCGTCAGTATTTGCATAATTTTTGTGCTGCTTGTGTTGTGGGCTTGGGATCGTTATTTATGAAAAATGTTGTGGGAAAGCAACAATAATTTACAAAGGTAAGAAGTTATAGCTGCTATTTGGGAGATCACCACATCTACTAATCAGAATTATTCAACCGCGATCACTGAGGAGATGTGTAGCAGCTATAGCTTCTACCCTTTAAATTATTGTTGATTTTCAACAACAATTACATAAGAAACGGCCTGAAGCTCAATAAAATTGTTGAATATATTGTTGTTATAAGGCCATAAATAACAATAAAATCTGAATGTTAAGGTCAGTCAAACATACCGAAAGAAAGGCGGAGAGTCTCCTTAAAGTCGATGTTTAAAACTTCGGTAAAACTTTCATCGATGTAGCTTCAATTCCGCGATGTTAGTAAATTGTAAACATCGATGGCAAACATCGAAAATTGAACTCATATTATCGATGTTTCAAAAACAACGATGTATCGTTTACATCCCTAGGCACAGCTGGCACGTGCAGCATTCATGTTTTTTTTCTTGATTTTGATCGCCAGCGGCCGTGTTATTTAATTTTTTTGGAGTTATTAGGCGTCTCGTTTCTGAGTTTAGGGCGCAAGTGCGCAGCGCCCTGTACGTTGTGGTTAGCGGTTTTTGTAAACCAGGGTAATTAAATTGATTAAAATCAAACACAAAACTAATAAACAAAGCCGTTACACAACCCTAGAAAAATACTACAAATTACATCTATTTTTTAATTACAGAACTTAAAATTAAGTTAAACGGCATCTATCCTACATACATATGTCAATAAGTGTATTTCGCTTTTAATGGCACCAGCTTCAATTCTGGCTTTGCGCAGTGCTGCACTGAAGTCATTCGATTTCGTTCGCGAAATCCACAAACGGGCTTTCAGTAATAAATTTCTTCTTATAACCAATGTAGGCATTTCACTGGGCCTGAGTACAGCCGGTGATCTATTGGAACAACATTACGAAATTTATCGCGGCGATATAAAAGAATGGGACCAGAGGCGCACAGCCAACATGGGCATTTCCGGGATGGGCGTTGGCGCCATTTGTCATTATTGGTACAAGTTTCTCGATAGTCGAATGCCAGGACGTACAATTGGAATTGTAATGAAGAAAATTGTGTTAGATCAATTCATTTGTTCTCCTCTCTACATTTCGGCATTCTTTCTGACAATGGGCGCATTGGAAGACAAATCGTTGAAGGAGACGTGGCAGGAAATGAAGGATAAAGCATGGAAATTATATGCTGCTGAATGGATGGTATGGCCACCCGCACAATTCATTAACTTCTATTGCCTACCAACACGATACCGGGTGGCATATGACAACGTAATTAGCCTGGGCTATGACGTGTATACATCACAGGTAAAACATAACGACTAAGCTACACTTCACCGCCCTACGCGCACAGGTGAACATTTTTGGGGTGCTATATGAATCTTGGAGTAATTGCGCACATTTCCACAAGTGTATTGTATAAACTTTAACTATAAAAGCTAATGAGGGATAGGTATACTTATACCGTGTGCTGTAAAAATTCTCAGTGAATAGATATATGTAGTTGTTTTGTATAGTATGTACATAAGTATGATTATCCAATAAAAGATAATGAAATTGCTCGCAAATCCAGTACCAAAAATCTGCATCAACAAAATAACATATCCTAGCCATCCGTTCTTTTTCACGCAAATAAAATCCTTCAGGTGACGTCCGACTCCAAGTCGTAACAATTTTTTTTTTTTTCAATTTCAATCGAAGATTTCAGATCTTAAATAATTTGAATCCGTTTATTATGTCTTTTCAAACGTATGCCAGCAGTGAATGTGAAGACAACAATGCTAAAAATTATGCTTGACCAGCTGATATGTTCACCCGTATATTTAACTGCTTTCTTCACATTAGGATTCACGGAGGGTCGAAGCATATAGGAGGCTTTTGCGCAACTAATAAAATTTGGAGTGTATACCGTTTTGAATGGATGCTTTCGCCCCAACAAAATGCGTATTTTTTTACGTGTATATGATATGTTAAATAGATCTAACATACACATCACATGTAGCCCACGATAACAAATAAAAACAGTTTTAAGTCATTTAAGGGTAGATTTTAGGATAGCTATTTATTGAGCAATAAAGCAGCGAATGTTTTATAGCCCTAGGTTTATTGAAATCCAATCAAAGATAAATGTTGAGAAATACACAACGCGGTTAGAAGTTTATTTAATAACTAAAATAAGGCTGCTGAAACTTTAGTAGTCTGGAAAGTTTTAGAATTTGGATTTGTACTAATTTTTCCTGTCCCCACGACGACGCATTGACGCTGTACATTTCGGACAATACCACTTGCCTTTTGGTGGTTGTGTAATACCCACACAGGGATAATGAAACCATTCGTAAGGACAAGCATCGTTGTCACAAGCGACCATGTCTCCATACGAGACCTGATTACAAGTACAGTAACGTGGTTCATTCGGATCATAGGACCATTCTCCCTCAGGAGTTTGCTCCACCACCAACCCATTTTCATTGATGGTAATATTTGAGGTAGGAGCAAGGGTGCTTGATGAGATCGAAGACGAGACTGAGCTGGCGCGATTTGCTGCAGCAGCTGAAGTGGAAGCACCACCTGCTCCAATAGCTGTTAGACCAATAGACGTGACGCTAAGATTTCCAACTGTAGTCAAATTAGAGGAAGACGGTAGCATATCTACTGAGTCTACACTGACAGAAGACGAAGATGATGCTAATGAAATGGCTGATGACGGTGCGCTGCCACTTATAGTAGTGTTGGCGTGAGTAATACTGCTGGTATTTATTTTCCTACAAAACACACAAATAAATTAGTACTCAAAAATAGTTGTTCGACATACTTTTTCTGTTTCTTTTCTAGGCTAGGAGTCGGGAGTACTGTTTGTGCAGCAGCCGTCGCAGCGTTTGCGATATCACGACTTATCCAAAACTCGGGTGGGCCGCCGCCAGCACCATGTATAGCCTCATAACTGGCTTTAAGACTTGCTGTGCGCCGCCCTTGCGGCATTTGTTGAGTTGCAACTATGGCTTGACTGGCCGCAGCAGCGATTGCATTCGAAGCAGATCCTCCTAATTGTTGTAAATTGTAAGCAACTGCGGAAGGGTTGCCTGCTGCGCTAACTGCAGTCGTGGCAGAACTAAGCACAGCATGTGTACCTATTCCAGGCGTTATGGGACGCACAACAGCAACAGAAGGATTAGCTGACGTTATGGTATTATTAATTTTTGGACGTTTTTCTGGTATACCGGAAATATTTGTAGTACTGTCTCGTCGTTTCTCTGGTTTAGGTGTGCGATAGCGATTATCTGTTGGTGCTGCCAATGGCGTTGCCGGGAGTGATAACCCGCCCATGGTGCCACCGGGTACGCTTAATATACTATGACTATTTGTAGTTGCCGGTACACCTATTGAGCCGTAATATCTGTTTTCTTTCTGTGTAACACCAATTACATTTATCAAAGCTGTTGCCGCACTTGAACCCCCATCTAACTCTAATGAACGTTTTTCTAATATTTCTGTAATACCATTATTATCAGCTTCTAGTTCACATTTGAACTTAAAAAGTTCGCTGTCCAAACGGCGCAGGTAACGCTCGACCAACTCATGTATTTGTGTGGCAATGTTTACTTTTTCATCGGCATCCTCCAGCACTTTGTAGTACTCTTTGCGAAGATTTTGAAAATCCGAATCGGCTGTTTCATTTTGTAACTCACCGCGTTTACATTGTTGAAAAAATGTCCGTGTCTTTTTCTCCAATGAGTCCATGCTATCTGAAAACAAGCGAATTATATAGAATTATTTAAGCGTATACGTATGTATATTAGGACCAGCAGCAATTTACTTTGCACAGTTAAATCCAATTCGCGCATCTCTGTAAAGCGGTCACGGAGCTCCTGTGGCAAATGCTCAATCACTGTAGTGAGGAAAAAGTTTCTATGAATGCGTTGTTTACTTAATACGGCAGTGTTAGCCCAGCAAAAAAAATAAACAAATTCAAAGTAAACAAAATCCGGGCCAACACACGTAACCTCCAAATGTGCGCTTGATCCGCGAAGCACTGAACATTTTACACGGTTGTGGGAACATGAACTTACTTTCAAGATAATCCTCTAGATATAACATGTTTTCTAGATAGTTATGCACAAGTTAAGACCAAATAGTCGCAAAATTTCAAATATTAAATTTATTAGCAACAAATTGATGAAAAATCAGCAAAAACACGCCTCTCCAAAAGCACTGTCACAAGAATTTTTCTGACAATAGTGATGAGCTGCATTGTCGGTACTTAGTACTCGGTACCAAATACTTCAAAAATTTTCATGTTTTTTACGCGTCTACATTTTGCAACCTCGCAGCAGGGTTGCATTATGGCAATACTAATCACATTTTTTTTATTTATTGGGCACGTTTTCTGTATTTGCATTTAATTTGAGCGCAATTTCTGATGAAAAGAAACAAATCAAGGAAAAGAAATAACAAATATTACGAATTGGTAATTAAGTTAAATAATTACAATTTTTCAGAAACAAAATCGAAAGGCGACATATAAAAAATGCATGCAAGGAAGAAATGTCTGGCAACACCAGCAAAGTTTTGAGACGATTTTGCGACGACTGCTAGAAAGGGGTGCTCACAGTTTGATGCTAAAGATGTCTCAAAATGTAGTCAAGAACGTAAATTACCGGTACGTAAAGCCGAGTCAGATGACACTCAACATCGCAGCATTTTTCCGTAGTTGTAGCCCGTAGCACAGAAATCTGCGGAATTTAGATTTCTCCGTGTCAGCTGATTTCTTCCTTCTATAGACAGTTGCCACTTCGTCAGTTTTGCAGATGGTAAACAATTAATAAGTTCTTATTCAAAATACGTTTAAAATATTTTAAATTGACTATTAAATAAGGTTTTTTGTTGAAAACTAAGTAGTTTATATTTAGCTAAGATCTATTATAGCACGAAAAATTATAGTTAAAAGCGTAAGTTCATGAAAAGGCATTGATGAGTGGCAACACTTTAGTAAGCGACACTGAAGGTTCCAGTAATCCAAAAAATTCTGCGTATACAGACTGTGTTTTAGTATACGTTCTGCGTTCTTGACTAATTTCAGCTTAACTCGTTACTTTGAAAATGTGCCGCGACCAAAGGACGTAGATAACAAAAAGGGACAACTCGTTCTAATTGTGGCGAAAGCAAAGAACGTAGTTTCGCTACAATTACAACGAGTTGTCCCTTCTTGTTATTTACGTTCTTTGGTAAGAGCAAATGTGTACTGCCGTACTTCTCGAATCTATAAAAGACACCTATAAACCGTATTATTTTCGTTTTTTATTATTTCTTTAGTTTTTTAATAAAGTTCCATGTATTTCGAAAATTTCTGCCAAAAAAATATGGTGAGCCGATAAATCGATCCGTGTGTAGGGCCTTTAATACATTCTCTTTGGAATGCTTTCCAACACTATTTCCCAAATTATTAGACAAATGGCAACGTTGTATACAATGTATAACAACAACAACCACAATATTAAAAACAAAACAAAAATTGAGAAGCGTTCAAAAGGATAATTTACAAAGCAAAAACAGGACACAGACGTAGGACAAGTGTTTTCATTTTGTTCGTGATATCCTTCGTATGTGCGGTCGCCCGAATTGTCCTCGAAATCGCTGGCGTTTTGACTCGGTGAGCAATCGGTTATGAATGGTCATTGCGCGAAGACGCCGTGGAAATAGCGTAGATATTTGGGCCATCCTAAATTTGCCAAACATTTTACATTTATTTTTGCTTGTTATGGTGAGTGTTTTGTGCAAAGTTCAGTGTTTTTCTTGAAAGGAGTCACTGAAGTGAAACAAGTTTAATTTGAAAAGTTTAAGAAACAAGCAATACGCAAACTATTTGAAGTTGTTCTCGTGTATGCATACATACGTGAATTTGTTAAATCCGTAGTACATATTAAAATTTTGCATTTTTCGATTCAATTCAGCCAAGCTTTTAATCAATTCATTCTACGCTTGACTTAGTGCTGCCAAAATTAAAATTTCATAATACAATTTTACAAAATTTTACCAAAGAAAGTGTGATAAATTATGTCTAAAGTGTTGGCTCAACAAAATGCACTGCCTACCCAGCAGTCCGAAAAATCTGAAAATAAAAAAACCACACCCACTGTAAAATCGCTCAATAACAACAAAAGCGGCATAAATGGTAGTACCAGCATGAGAGGAACAGTCTCCAGCTCCTTGTCTAGTTCGTCGGAGTCACCATCTACCTCATCATCGCCCATTACTGTTGATTTCGATGATTTCACCAGCAGCTCCATTCTAGAATTTCTGGCAAGGGAACAAGAATGTTGTACTGAAGCAGATGCCGAAAGCATTTTTCAGGAAGTTAGTCGTTTGGCAGACAATTCGGATACACGTAGCGTTGATGAAATTTTGCGTGAAGCTGAGCTACTAATGCAACAGCAACCGCCTTTAGGAAGTGCTGATAAAACAGACAAATCAGGACGAAATAAAAAGCCTAACGCACATGGAGTGGACAAAATACGAGTAGCTCACTCGAAACAGTCATTATCTTCAGAGCAAAAACAGAATCCTTCACCGCTGCAACAAGCTCAACCACTAACTGTGGCAATACAAAACATTAAACTAAATAGTAAATATACGAAGAGCATTGAAAATATTTGCCCAGTTCAGAAGCAAACGGCAGTAAGTGCGCCCACTCGACTGACCAACGGCAACTGTAACTATCAAGACATAGTGCAGTCACAAAAAAACAGATCGCCTGCAACGCTGTGCACAATGTCTACACCCCCAGCTACTACCACACCTCAGACGCCGACACCAACTGCCGCCACACCAATTGGCAATCAACGCTTTGATGTTTTTGTCGATAATTTGCCATCGGTGTCGGTAATTTCTGAAGAGTCGACACCGAAGGACATGCAAAATATGACAGCAAATGAAGCCGATGTGACAACCATGGCACTGGTAAATGGAGACGACGATGATACAGATACGGTGAGTTAGGGGCGCCCTCACGCAAGCTTAAATATTCATCTATGCAGGGATATAAATAAATTTTCCATGTTATTAATCTAAGTTCACATGTGTATGCATAAATTGTTTGTACATTGCTTAGTTTTTATGCATACGGGCCAATGTCTTGCAGCGGTTACTTATAAAAAGTCTACTGCAGGATACCGTAACTTGAATGTCATCAATGATGACTGCATTACAAAGTCATGCAGAGGTCATCAACGATCAAAATACCATTTCGATGAAAAAGTCATGAACGATTACCTTATAAATGGGGCCCAAAGTAATTTAAAATGTCACATGCCAGTACAAGACACTCAAGTGGTTAAAGCATGACATTCGCTACGGGGGGTCTAAGTCACATCATACCACTTGAGCTTAAATGACATGAATGCGTTTAGATACAGGTAAAGTATGCTGTAAGCACAAAAGCTATGAAGTGACTTAGAAGACTTATATCAGGAAGAGTTGGTAAAGTACGCTAATTCAATGCCAACTAGGCAGCTTCTATCTTTATTTAATAAGCAAGTACTGATCGGTTTTTATTAAGTAAAATAATTCAATTTCAACTAGAACACTCCTAAAATCAGTATAAAACTAATTCTAATTCATATATACTACTGATGACGTCTGCTACAGCTTCCACAACAATTAAGCCTTCCTTACCAGTGTCAATTATCTGTGACGGTGGTAAGAAGAATCCATATTCACCCATATCGCGTAACTCAATTACATATGGATATTTCACATCACATTCAGCCCTCGCCCAATCTGTTGAAACGCCACTTACACTTCCATAGCTTTCATAAGTTGAACTACATTTATAAGTTTTTCCAGTGGTTTCTTCTATTCGGTTGGCAGCAATTTTGCAAATACGTTGCCACTCTTTAGTAGAATAATCTTTTTCAGGCTTGTAAGCCCAAGGATAGCTAATTACTTGGTCATAGCTATGAAATGTTAAGTAAGCCTCGAGGTTGTTTCTATGTTCATATAAAAAATTACTAATAGCTAGAGTTTCCGGTTCGGAAAAGGCTGAATTACCGCCAAAATTTTCAGCGCATGGATCATTAGAGGTATCACTAGCACCCCAATCGACATTAAAATTGCGGTTCAAGTCGACACCGCGACATGTCGAACCGTTTATAATGGCACGATTCTTGCGCCAAAAGCGATCCACCTCCTGACTGTACACATATCCATCTGGATTAGCGACTGGCATAATATACCAAGTAATATTTTTAAGATGACCTGATAGATTATGCCATTTAGTCACTAATTCGTTGAGTACAAAGGTGGCTGTCGACGGACTTATCCATTCGCGTGGATGAATGCCACCTTCGATGAAAATCGTTTTGCCGTCTTGGTGATCCGCTGAAATTCTGTGGATTAAAATTGAAGTTTATTATACATAGTAGTATGTAGTTTGGGTTCATGTTGGCTGTAATAGTACATATAAATGTATTTACCTTAACACTTTGATATCTCTTCCTTCCACGGTCACACCGATATTATCCACTCTTGTAATTTGAGGAAATTTATTGTTTATCTGATGCAGGAAATCATAGATTACACTCAAGTTATGATATTGATTCCAATTCATGGCACTAACGATGAGCGGATCTTAAATATAAGCATGAAATAAATGCTAGGCGCTTTAAACTTGAAGTGCTTAAATTGTTCAATATCTAAAATTTGTTTTCTCTTCTTCACTTTATACAATATAGTTTTAAGCTAATGTATTTTTTTTCTTATGTATGCGAAGTATCTGAAAAGACATCAGTCTTATGTACAGCCAGTTACATAAATAAATAAATATATACACTAAAATGTTAACAACTATAATTATGAAGTATGTAATTTATTTCATTCCAAATTACCATCAATTTCATTTTGATCTTCAATAATTGCATTACTCCACAGCGGCTTCGAAATATTACCCAATGCTGCACTGATAAATGTCAGCGATATTAGCACTTCGCAGATAAAATATTTACAAAGCGCCATGCTACTTGCAAGGACCGCTTACGAATACAGAATAAAGAGTTTGTCTTGTAGCTTCATGCCGCTTAATTTCATTTTTGAGATAACACGTTTTTCGACTTTAATGTAAATGCACAGTATCAGGTACCCATCCCCATACGTACATATATATGCATCTGCATCTGCTCATACATACACTTGTGGTCAGCTGATTAAGTTAAGTCGCATTTTGACAAGTTTTGGCCATTTTTTGTTTATTTAATATTTATTTTTTTTTTTGTACAATTATAGCATTTTATATAACCAGAGCCATATAAATCTACATTTCAAAGATTGTACAAAAATTCAACAAACTACCAATTAAGTACAACCAGAAATTTATGCTGGACAACTTCTTTTATATGGAAGAAAATGTCTAGCTATAAAACTGCATACCTAAAATTTTTCTAAAAATTCTAAATAAAAAGTTTGCAATTTTTTGGAGGTAATTGGTAAAGTTTGTTGAATTTTTATAATTGGGTTAGTTATATAACCTGCTGCTTGCACTTTTTTATAAAAAAATATTAAATAAACAAAAAAAAAATAGCCACAACTGGTCAACTTGTCACTTAACTTAATCAGCTGTCCACAAGAGTATATATGTACATACATACATATGTATGTATATACTTACAGGCTACTTGACAGTTGGGATCAAAATGATTGCCTTTTACGCTTCAAAAATTACCCCAACACTTATATTGACATAGCGTTCCAAAATTAAATACAAAAAAAGCACAAGCTATAAGCCTAATCGAGCGATAAAAAATCAAATACATACCTCCAACCACCACCAAAATCCAGAAATAGGGACAAAAAGGTGTTCTGTATGCCGCCTAATGATTTATTTTTTAATTCACTTCAAGTAGTTTAATGCTACTCATAACAGGACAAACGTTCCCAAGCGTAATGTAATTAAAAAAAAAAATCATCACATTACCAACCTTTAAAAATCGTTTAGAATTGTTTTCCAGTATGCAGCGAACTTGCTTTGTATCGAAGAAAATGTGTAACACCTTCAACAAAAAAAAAAACAAATAAAAAATCAACTAGATTTTTTAGTGTCCTGAAACCTGTACCTTATTATAATAAACTCTAAAGGCCAGAAAATAGGCGTACTCTAATAGATTCTACAATTAAAATAAAATTTTGAAATTCTATGAACATTTGTTGAGTGCTTATACACTTTTATTAAGTTTTTTATAGAATACGCTTTATTTTTATAAATAAGTAATTAATATTAAATAAAAAAAGGCAAAACTGTCAATGCTGAAGATCAAAAGGGTGCACCATTCAAGTGACCAGAACTGATAATAATAGCGTTGTTTTTAGCATACAAACTCAAAGTATCTATATTAACCTTTCATGCATTTTTTTACTTCAAAGCGAATTTGTAGTAGAAGGTCGACCTATGTCGGCAGCCAGTTCGAAAACGACGTATCTCAGAAAACTTTTCAAGAATGGCCTACTTCAGAATTTGATTGGAAAACGTTCTATCTCTGTTTCTTAAGATGTTTATAGATACCTTATTAAAGCTAGTAGAAATACTTCATTGGACATAATGAAGTGTAGTTGAAACAAACCAATTTAAGTATACATTCCGAAAATCTATACTAAATAGGCATCACTGTTAAGATATTTACGAAAAGAAACTTCAGCTAAAGCTGGGCAGCTACAGAAGAAATGCTCTAGTTAATGTTCAAACTTTTCTTAATAAAGCCACAAATTGTGTCCCCTTTACACCCTTTGGTTGTCATGGGCTAAACTTTGGTCAGAATGTGGAAAAACTATAAGAAAATAAAATATTAATATTTTTGCAAATCATCTACGGATTTTGTCAAAATTAATTTTTTGCAAAAAAATTGAATAAAGTTCCCATAGTGCACTGTAAAGAGTCCCAGAAGATAATTTAGGTAGGCCTTCTTATGTGAAGCCATTCAAAAAGGCCTACCCAACAAGGGCTGAAATGAATTTCAATAAACATTTTTCGGAAGGGCTTAAAACTACTGAAATTATCTACAGGGGTCGTATAAGTACATATGTACCTACCTCCCCAAAAAATCAAAGTGGATCTTTTTTACCACTTGAACGAAGGAGGTCAAGCTGCAATTACTCACAATATTCTATCAAAGTTTTAAATCATATACATATATATGTACATAAATGCATACAGTGACTCAAATAAGTTTACAAATGAAGCTGTTAATTACCAAAGCAATAAGTCAGCATTTTTTCGATATGACAATGTTGATACAGATCGGTTCGTTTAAAGGAGCTCTGTTGAACTGCATCAAATTTGACATATCGGAAAAATACTGACTTTGATATTTAACCGATTCAAGCGTTTCTTTTAATATTTTAATACTTTTGTTCTTTTTTATAAAAATATACATATGTATATCAAAGTTATAAATTGTATACAAAGTTTAGAAATTTCAACAAATTTTCGAACTTTTTAATTTCCGATTTCTATAATTCTTTTTTGAAAGCAAATCTGAAATTTTTATATGAGAATTGAAGTCGGTTTTGTTGTTTGTTTAAAAATTACTTGTTTTGTCTCTCCTTTCCGAAAATGTTTGATTTTTTTCATGGGCGCAAAATCGTATCGGACGATGATATTATTTATTACACTTACAGTCGTTAACTTATCTTTTTTAAAGTATAGTTAAGTCAATAGTTAAACTTAACTACAGAAGTTTCTATGGAATTGAAATATATGAAATATATGAAATTTCTTAATTTTTTTTATTAATTTCTAGATGCAAATGCTTTGTACACAAGTACATACAGTTGTACCCAGCTTTTGCTTAAAATCGTTGAACATATATACTATATACATATGTGCATACATATATACATATATATTTCTTACAGAACATACTTAGGCAAACTTAATTCTAATACTTTCATACACACTCGATCACTCACCTACAAATATACAAATATAAATTAAATAAAAGTAATATAATTCTTAACCGATGGCCTGAGCCACCGTCTCAACAGCAATCATGCCCTCTTTGGCCGTAACGCCTATCAGTGATGGCAATAGTTCAAAACCATTTTGGCCCTTGTCGCGCAACTCGACCGTATAGACGAATTTAGTGCCACAAGCAGCACGCGCCCAATCATCCGAACCGCCACCGGCAATGCCCAACAAGGAATGCGTCACACCTGCGCGATAAACAGCGCCCGTCGCCTCGCGTATGCGCTCCACTACCGTTTTACCAACGCTTTCCAGCAAGGAAGCGTCTTTAACCTTGGCCGCCTTATATGCCCACGGATAGACTATCAGTTGACCGTAGCTATGAAAAGTCAGGTATGCAGCTAGATTATTTTTGCGTTTTAAAAGGAAATTCGTGACCGCTTGCGTTTCCAGCTCAGAGCCTGGTGATTTGCCGCGATATGTATCGCTGCAGGGATTTGATGATGAACCGCGACCATTCCAGTTAATATTGAAATTACGATTCAAATCAACGCCTACACAGTTCGAAGATGGCGAAGGTGAACGATTTTTGCGCCACAGCCGATTTACTCTTCGACTGTAAACGTAGCCATCTGGATTCATAACGGGCATAAAATACCAGGTGCGCTCCTTGAAGTAGGCAGGTTGATCTTTCCAGTTTGACATGAGCTGATAGAGTATGTATGTGACAGTGGCCGGACTGATCCATTCGCGTGCATGTATGCCGCCATCAATCCAAATTTTTTTATATTCGCGTGGATTCTCAGAGATTCTAAAAAGAGAGTGTAAGAGGTAATTTGTATATTTTTTAGTTAAAGGTATTATTATTTCACGGGGTTGAATTAATTGCGGGTGTAGCTAGGAAAAAGTTAAAGAGACTAGTTTTAAGCCTTGCGTAAACCGACTAACGTTTGCATAATCTGAAGATTTGAAAATATACATAGTATGTATTTAAATAAAAAAATGTTTTTTTTTTTTTTATAGAAAAAAATGCTCATAAAATATCGATTAACTGGCTGATAAAAAAAAATAGTGATGGGAGTTAATAAAGTAAATAAAACAAATAATTTTTCAGCAAAATACAAAACCGACTTCAATTCTCATATACAAATTTAAGAGTACCGTTAATTTCTTCTTGGCGTAATGATCGGATCTAAACAAAATTAGTACGGGACCACCTTTCCTTTAAAAAAATATTTATTATAAGTAAATTATAGAAATCGGCTAACGTGGACTAAAGTTATGCGGTAACACAAAAAAAAACTTTAAATTTTTTGATGTCGATTAAAAATATCACATGAAATACAACAATTTAATAAAGGAAATAAAAAGTATAAAACTAAATTAAAGTTGGATACACAAATCCGTATTAAGTATAATATGCATTTTTATGCAGATTTTAGCATTATCATATTATATCGAAATACGTAGAGGTACAGAAATGTGGGAATTTAATTTTCATTACCGCTTAGATACAACCCTAATGCACATCACTCGCCTACATTGCCCTTGATAGACTGTGTTAGTGTACTTAATATTTTCATTTTATGGTGACACGAATTCATTTTAAAGTGTCTAACACATTTAACGTGGCCAGAACAAAATTTAATTATCACACAATTGCAGCTTTTCTGCGGCTACAGCAACAACACTACCAAAGTATGTATACCAACTGTCAACTGCACGCAGCTTGGTTTGGCGACTGTTATCAAAAGAACAGACAACCAGCAACAAATTTTAATTTCAAAACATTTGTGTAGTATGTAAAAGCAAATAAAAAAATAACTTGGTTTACATTTCCCAATTGTAAATTTTGTTATTAGTGCAGTCAAATTACGAAAGCTGGATTTGAAGGACTTATAGGGCTGCGGAATCGGCGCCGTCTTGTTGAAAATCAGAGAGAATAAGGACTCAATTAGAGATGGACACGGGACTAAATATTTAACACCGATCCGCCCATCCCGAAATTCAATTTCTAAGTCCCGAACCCGCCCATCCCGACGATTTTCAGAATTGTACCGCGGGTCCCGTGAGTTCCATATTGTATCACTAAGCAAAATTCACATGCCTTTCAAATCATCTTCCAGTTATTTTGTTTTGCTTTGCTGTTCGTTTTCGTCTCAGTACAACGTTTTTAAGGAAAATTTTCTGAATTTGCTAAGGTTGCGGTTTTATCTGGAGTGTCGGGGAAAGGATTTTGGTCCCGTCCCGCCCACAAAATTTTTACATACCATTTTGGAATTAGTACCGTGGGTCTCGCGGGTCCCGATATCCCGCGCCCATCTCTAGTCTCAATTAAACTTATGTCTGGGTTGCCATACGTGGCAATGTAGTAAAAATTCCATTAAGACTTTACTCCATCTCATCTCAATTATTTTTACAGTGGATCGAAATGCACACTTTTTGAACAAAAATCAAATTTTTAAGCATGCCATTTAACGTGTAAAATGACTCCAACGATAATTTTTGTTAAAGGCAATTTATAGTAGAATTCAGCAAACAATTTTTTGAAGGGATATTTTAACCCACTAATTCCTACCACAACCGGACGTGTTGATTCGGTTATGAAAAAATGTTAGCTAGAGGGTTAACACGTTTTACGAATATGTTAAGTATAAAATTTTGCAAGGAGATACAAAAATCGAAACTTTTGTGGATAAAGGGGAAGACTAAATACATAATGAGGGAATTCGCAAGGCGAGTTAAGCGTCGTAATATCTTCAGCTTAAGATTTGTACATTTTGACAGTTACTGGGTAGGGTTTTTTTGGAAATCTTTTATTGAGCTAAACTTATTCTCGATCAAAATTTCTAGACAACCCCCACAACTAAAGTCTTATGCTGGATTTCCACTAAGCGTTAAATGGCAAAAATGACAAATGACAAAGACGGGAATTACAAAATAATCGTGTCATTATATTAAAAAAATTATCATTAAGTTCATTAAGTTCATTTCCACATGGCATTTTTTTAAATGGCGTAAATTCGGAAATCGTGGAAATACGGCATTAGTTGTTTTATGGAAATGAAAGATCAAAATGGTTTTAGGAGATTCGCTGTGTACGATTATGGCTAATTATATATTTTTCAAAAACTTTTCGGTATAGTTAGAAATTCTTTTAACCATTTTAATCGTTATTTTACATAGACAAATTTTAAAACTTAAGACATTTCCATGCCCAACACGCCTTGTAAATACCCTAGATAGCAGCATTTTTTTCATATCCAAAAAAATAAACCAATATTTTGCGGCTGACACATTGCGCCGTATGCATAAAACCTAAGCAAGTGCGTTTTCTTTACATTTTAGACCTTTTACTCGATTTGTTTAAATAAATTTAAGTAAAAGGTATGAAATTTTAAGTAAAACTTCTCTTCCGAAAACTCGCAAGATTTTATTCGGTGAGTTTTTGGTTGTGAGTTTTGCACTCGATGCACAGCTATCCAACTCTGGGCTTACCGAGTGGTTTATTCATTCATTCATAAATAAATTGTGAATACTCTCTACTTTGAATTACCTCAACACTTTTAGATCACGTCCCTCCGCTGTCTTGCCAATTGAATATAAACGACAAATATTCGGAAACTTGCCACGTATTTCGCGCATAAACGAATATATCACTTCCAAGTCGTGATAGTCCTTCCAATGAATGCCGCTGCGTGCTTGTTTCTCTGCAAATATCAAAAGTGCATTTATTAACTACATCGTGCTGCAGTTAAAATTATTGAAATTTATCACTAACTTGTACGACTACCCGCCTCCGCTTGTGTCGCATTTATGCCATCCATTTCGGCGGCGTCAATGAGCGCCTGTATATTCATATGCATCACTTCTTTGTCGATATTGCGTGCGGCAAGATAGCTGCGTGCCGCCTTCAAGTTATCCTTATTGATGGAGATATCAAGAAATTTTGAGTTTTCTTTCCAAATGACGCCACCTGCAGATATAAATAAAAGTTTCAAATTAAATATCTAATAAACTGATTTGCTTACATACATACATACATATGTATATAACTAAACAACTAAAAATCTATATACGCACCGAATTTACTCTCCAATGTCTCTGCCAGCGGCATGCTATTCTGCATATGCTCTGAAATATTGTAGATGCGCCACAATTGTGCATCGTCGTAGCGCACTGGTATCTCATTGACTTCGAGTAAACCATCCACGGCATCATCGTCTTGTGCTGTTGCATACGATATATTCGCGTTGATTTCCCTTTCATAGAGCATTCGATTTCCTGTTTGTATGTTTTTGTCAGCAATGGGCTCCAGGCGACTGATATCGAAAGCAGTGGTGAGCGCGAAAAGCACAAACACGCTGTAGATACCGTAGTGGCAACGCAGCATATTGGGCTCGGTATGTGGGGAGATGGTATGTATGTATGTAGTAGGTAAAGTGGGCTGATGTGAGCAAGGGCAAGTGTTGTCGGTAGGGCTAAGTGGGGATTTTCCAACTGTAAAATATGGAAATAGGATAATTTTGTGAAAATTTGCTCATGTACAATGAAAACTGGATATAATTTTTATATAATATTTTTTTGTAGCCTTTTTTATTTTGTTTGTATTTATTTTATATTTTATTTTATTTTATTTTATTTTATTTTATTTTATTTTATTTTATTTTATTTTATTTTATTTTATTTTGTTTTATTTTATTTTGTTTTGTTTTATTTTATTTTGTTTTGTCTTATTTTATTTTGTTGTATTTTATTTTAATAACACTCGGAACTCAAGATGTGGTCAGTTTATTAAAAACTAATTACGAATGCAATCAACCAAGCTCTGCTCTAAGAAATATTAATGCATAATCCTACTATTACTTTGAATTGCGATGCTAGTGCTTATGTAAGAAAAAAACAGAAAATTTCGTTTAAAAATCAGACGACTTGAGTTGCACGCCTCCTGAATAATAAATGCATAGTTAATTCTATTTAATTTTAGTGATTTACATTCAATATTTATATGCAACATACATGCATTTTTCAACTTTTCTTTAACTTGCTATGTATTTAGGTGTGTATGTAAGTACGTAAGTATGTAAGCAATCTTGCAATACATTTTTAACCCACCTCCCTATGAGCTAGAAACTTGAAACATCAAACTTAGCTGAGAACCCGATGACCATACAATACGGAAGATAAATTAATCCGAAAGGTGGCGCAGGAGTCGTTCGGATTTGGTTCATATTTGGAATGAGTTCCTAACACTTGATGTTTAGCCAGCCGTGGAAGCCCCTATCGCCCAGCTCTCACTGAGCCGATTATAGGCCCATCTGTCCAGGTGTAGTGCACAAGTTGTCAAAGATATTCTAAGGCCCACCCTCTCTAGGAGATGACCTCAAGGGAGTCCTGCCTGACTAAAATTTTTTGGAAGTAGTCCGAGGCGATTGAGAGAGAGGTCAGCTATTCACCGACCATAATGAGCATATAGTAAATATTTACTCTTCTAATCAGTAATACACTTCTGTCTTAAAAACGCTGTAAAAATCCGGCAGCCTGAGGCACCTTGCGAGGTGCACCAATTTCGCTTTGAGAGTACAGTCGTGGAGCGTGCAGGAAATCAGCCTAAGTTGTTCCCGACTCTGAGTTTGATCTGAAAAGCTCCGTCGATATTGAGAATGATGCCAACTACAACGTTTTTCTATGTACTTAAAAGTCTCATCAATAATTATAACAATTGTATGCTGGGCGGTTTCCATAGATCTACCTTTTAGGTAAGAATGCCGAGAGAGGCTCAATCGCTCTCGAGGAATTTAATTTTTATTCAATCAGTCTCTCAAGAGTCTTTAATAAGAATGAAAAGTGAGTTCAATGCACCTAAAACAGTTTTAATGTTATATACAAGGACCATAATTATTATAGCTTTTTACTGGGTTATAAGCATACGTGCATATATACATTAGGATGCCTCATTATTCTTGCGAAAAAATCGGGGTTTCCATCAGAGTTATATAATTCTTTATATTTAAAAACTTGCGCCAAAATATTTCGGAAAAATATTTAGCCTAAGCTAGATCGAATTAAAAATATATACTTCCAAAAATCGAGAGTTTTTATAGTTAAAATTAGTTTTTAAAAATACGAAATTTTTCCAAAAAATCAATCAGGTGTTAGAAAAGTTTTAGCTTTAAAGTCAGCAAAAGATGTTTAAAAATTTTACCAACGGAATCAAAACAATGAGATTTCCTGCGCAGCTCATGTCAGTCTTAATATTTCTCTAAAATATCCTGCTACAAGTCTAAAAATATAATAAATTTTATAATTCCAGTGGAAAATACGCAACTTTTTTTAGTGTCGTACATATGCAAAACAAAATTTAAACTTCTAAAACCAAGTGAAAATCAAATCATGCCGTTACTCATAGGGAAGCCTAACTAAATATGAGCAAATTGTAATATTAGACTCATTAAGTCATTTAGTTTTTTTTTGTTTTGCTTGCGGTGACTACGTATTAATAATTTGTACTTGGTTTTAATAATCATATTGCAAGGTTATTGCTGATTGAAAAAATGTTTAATAAAGTCAATAAACTCATACGCTTTTTGATATATGTAAATATCGTCAACATTACGAATGCATCTAAGTTCACATAAAACGTTTTGAAAGCCATTCTAAAAAGTTGTAAAGTCTCGTATATTTGAAGAGATACATATTTACATGTATGTATAATGTTTAGGGATATATGTACAGTGGCGCTCATCTAAATAGCACACTTTTATTTTTTACAATATTCACAATGTTTTACGCGATACATTTCTTTCGCTAATTTTTTATAAAAATATGTAGGTATAGTTGATTCTATAACATAAACCATATAAGTCAAAGTTTAAAACTTGTGCGCAATTCAGGAAAATTTAATTTTGTCCTAAATACATACATCTCTACATGATGTAACGGAATTATTAAAAAAAAAATATTTTTAAAAATTGGAAACATACAATTTAGCTTCTTTTGTAGCTTTGTGTAGAGCTGTAAATTAATTGCAATAATAAATACAATATGGTACTTAAAGCCAAATCACATGATTGGTGCATTTGTATAGATTTTTAAATGTACAAACTACACTTGTCTGTTTAATTGGGGTCGCAGTTAAAGATATTTCTTAACGTAACTATTCAAGATTATTTTATGTTTAAATGTTTATGGACAGTACTAGCAAATCTTTTTGTATACAGTTTTTGCCAATAAAATGAAAACGAATTCAATATTTACAAATTGTTCAACAAGTTTTTATAAAACTGTCCACAGCAACGGCAAAGTGAACGATTCAATATTTGAATACACAGTTAGTATTGAAAAACATACATATACAGTCTTCAGAACGGCACATATGTTAACGGTAGTCTAATAGATTAAGATCTAGAATACCCATTGGCCTATCTTCCGCATCAGAGTGTTACATGTTTTTTGAGCCACGTTTGATACGTTTCATATAGTCATCCGCATTTGTATCTGGAATCCCATTCTCACTACATGAAAAAGCTTTTTAATTATAACATTTTGTTTTTTGTTGTGTTCGTAACTCCGGCGGCATCTAGTTGGTAGTTTCGTTACAAAAGAATTTTTCTTCCTATTACCCAAATACATTTCGAATATAAAACAAATCGGCCCATAAATACGAATTGTATCAAAAACATCCAATCGAGCGCCACCTGGCGGGTAAATAGTATTTCACTTCTCTTTGCTAATAGGGATTTCGAATATAAATAGGTATTTTAGTAATAACTTGACTTCAGCGCAAACTTTTTCGTACGAAGCTGATCCTGTTAGCTATGTACAAAAAATAAATAAAAAAATATTTATAAAATCTTATAGTTCGTTCACAAGATAAGTCTCAAATAACTTAGAAACTACGTCAATTTGAGCCTTTTAAAAGACACCATTAGAATCCTCTCACATTGTGTAATTCCTAGTATTTTTACTGAATGTTTACACTCTGAACGCAGTAAGTACTGTGTGGCGGTGGTAGGCCAGATACAGGTCATGCTCTTCGACCTCCCATTTTAATAGATCGGATTTTGAATCAAACAAACAAAACTGACATCTAGTAACTCTCTGGCTACCTTATACGGTGTTCGCATGAGGCGATTTTGCAGGCAACTTTTAGTTGAAAGCAACAATCGCTTGGTGTGAACGGCCTTTCAACTAATCGCTTCCAATGAAGTTGGGGTGCAGCCAACTTTTGATTCAACTAATCGCCTCTAAAATTGCCTGGAAAATCGCCTCATGCGAACACCGCCATTCACCAGTATTGCCATTTTGGTGGTGGTCCCCAGAGTTCTGTGCAATGTCGCTGTGTTCACACATTGTACACATTTTCACATAAATCTGGGTCATTCCCCGATTACGTGCACCCGATTGGCATGTGAACGTTTCGGGATTTTTCGTTACTTTCGTAGTTTTATGAAGAACCCTTCGGGAGTTTTCGGTATTATGCAGGTATGTCCAATGGTACATTTAAGTTTTAAATTGCATTTTATGATTAAAAAAATGAATAAAAAAATAAAAATTACAAGTTATTGGTTTTTAAGGTCTTATGTCTATGAAATTCTGGAAGTCCGTAATTTGCAAAATTTGCTAAAAATGTTGCCTTTTTCCCCCAAAAAGGATACTACTTGCGGTGTCTGGTAAAAAGAGAAAGTTATTCCGTATATCAGCAAGTTTCAATCATCACTCTACTCTCCACAACGGTAACGTTAATCGCGGCCATCAACTGCTGCAGCTGCAACTTACAATTTTCTATAGGCGCACAGCTAGAGGCATTTTTTAAAGCTTAAATATTTTCAAAAAATGCAATTTTTTACTTCCTGATTTGCTTTACTTACTGCAATTCAATATTTGTTTTGTAACTAAATGTAGATATTTTATAAAAAAATTCCACTTAATTACCAACACGCGATATTTAATTATAACAAACTATTCAAATACCTATTGTAATGCTGTGCACTTGAAGCTAAGCATGTACAGTCACTCACAGAAGTATTCGTAAATTAGTTTTTTCACGATATTCAAAATGTTTTTCATCATAAATGTTTTTTGTTAATTTTTCTTTAAAATATAGCTCATTCTACAACAAAAACCATATAAATCATTATTGCAAACTTTGTACAAAATTCATAAAAATGAATCAAACTCAAAAAAATTTTTATTAAATTTACAAACTTTTTATTCAGAATTTTTAGAGAAATTTTTAGTATGCAGTTTTGTAGCCCGTCCAATTTTAGTATAATAAAGTGGAAGTTTCAAGTAGCTAAAGATTACCACTGATTTTTTAGATTTTGAACAAAACTATTTTTATATGGAAGAAAATGCGCAACACCCTCGACAAAAAAAAAATCAGCAGTAATTTTTAGTTGCTTGAAACTTGCACTTTATTATACTAAAAATGAACGGGCTACAAAAGTGCATACCGAAAACTTTTCTAAAAATTCTGAATAAAAAGTTTGAAATTTTGATGCAAATTTTTTTAAGTTTAATTAATTTTTATGAATTTCGTACAATATTTGCAATAATGATTTAACATTTTCAACATTTTGAATATTGTGAAAAAAAACTAATTTACGAATACTTCTGTGAGTAACTGTATGTATGAAACAAAAGAGTGATAATACAATACAGTGGATAAAGCAAATATTTTTCAAGCCCCCGAGCAGCGCTCCGATAGCTGTTGCAGCGCCTGATCGCTTACACGCCGCAATCTTTCGAACGTGAACACACACACGAAGCACGTAAACATCAGAGTTCGCTTGTAATTGCACTATCATTGGCATTAACCTTTGTTTTTTTTTTGGTTTTTTTTCGCATGCATGCAATTAAATAGCCGCCAAGCACCGATTGCAATTGCTTATTTAGTTTAAAATTTTTATACAGGCTTACAACTTACACTCCTTGCCTTTTGCTGCCTGGTAAGCGACACGACCACAAAAAAAAAATAAAAAAAGCTGAATCACTGATTTAAAAACAACTGAAATTCGATTGAGCCGCAATAAAGCGCTTGGTTTCAACAGCACTTTCAACTTTATGCAGTCCGTATCAGAGTTGGAGTTGTGGCTTGACGCTGCGCAGTAATCACCTTTCGAGCGCAAATGGTAGCCACTTGCTGAACTTGCTGGCACGTTGCACGATTTGCTATTGACTTTGACTTTGTGCGATTTTAGGTAACTGCAGGCGTCTCAGTTCACTTTTTAGTTGACGCAACCGTCAATGAACGCAGCAATTAAAAAAAACATACAGACAAGCAAAAGGCCAAAAAGGAAGAAAAACCAAATGGTTTAAAAAATGTATATTTAAAAAACTCGTTTACGCTGTTGTGACGGCTTTTAGGAAATAATGCTTGAATTGGCCGGCCGTTGCGGCTGTTAAAAGTCTTTCACCAAAAAATTTCATCAATTTCGAAAACTCGTTCTGCCTTTGTCTTTTCTTTTCTCTCTCTTGTATGCAGTTTTGGCTATTGTACTCATATTTTTCCTGAAACATTAACTTCAACTCGTTTTTTGAGCCATTATTCTTTTTTTTTTTTGAATTGTTGTTCGCCTTTGAAACTTAATGCGGTTGTTGTTTTAGGCCTGCAATTTCTTTAAGCATTTTATTTTTAGCGCAAGCACGCATCCGCATTTACATACCTACTACATACACATAGGTGGCTGCACTTGTTGATGGCATCACATAGGACCAACAAGTAAAATTACATATAAATCTTAAGTGTTTTTTTTTTCTAAATTAAAAACTGCTTAAAATCCTCATTAAAAATATTCACGCACTTAATATGTACATACATACTTATATACGCACATACACGCATTTACTTTCTTTCATCAAAAAAATATGCACTTAATATTTAATCACCTTTTCTTATCCACGCCCTTATCCACTGTTAACTATGTACGTTCACAAACGTTACTACGTTGCTTAGCACTTACTATTACGTTATGACGAATCTATTTACTTACGCGTGCGCCTTTCGCTTTAATTAAATTATTAATTATTAGGTTTTTTGTTTTTAGATTTTTACCGCGCGCGGTTTTTTATCCGCGTTACGTTGCGCGCCGTTTGCAAGAGCAGTTAGACTAAGCGTCGGAAATGGTGAGCCCTCAATTTTTATACTGTGCGCGTTCGCTTATCAATCGTACAGGCGCGCGCGCAATGAATCGTTGTGGCGTTGAGTGAGGCGCACGCAGTTGGAGCTTCGAACTTTGGAGCAGCGCGATCGCGGCACCGTCAGGGGCGCGCGCTTTGCTGACTGAGTATAAGCGGGCGTTTCACTCGTTGAGTTTCGTTGGGTGCTTGCAGTGCAATGTTGTTGATTATGACTTTGTATTGTTATTTGATATATGTAAATGCGTTTATTGTTATTGTTGTTGTGCTGTGAAAGGGGCTGTTGCCTACCCGCCTCTGCTGTTGCAATGGCAAATGTTGCTCTGATTGCAGTTGCTCTAGCAGCGCGCCGCTGCGTTGTATGTAGTATAATGGTGCCAGCAGGCGCCGCACGGAAAACGTAAAATTGATTGTTTATGCGTAGGCAACAACAACAATGCGTTAAATATTTATTTGTGCAATTTTCGTGGATTTTCTTACAGCTTTTCGCTGCTTTTATTAAGGTTGTTTATGCAAAATTTTCACTCTTTCCTCTTGTTTTTGAATTATTTTATGCTGCGATGAATTCGCTCAAAAATTGTTGCTTTGTTGTTTTTTTGTGGTTTGTTTACATCTGGTATCCCTATTGTGGCTGCTGTTGCATTTATATGCATACATATGTATGTACATATGTGTGTCTGTATGTAGCTCACTGCATAGTCACTTGACTCTATCGCCGCGCGATGGTTGCTATCTCCTACTTCGGGAACGCTTTTGACAATCACTTCTCTTTTATTATTTCGATTTTTGTGCACTTATAATTTTCTGTTGTTCACAATTTGTGGTTAGAAAAAAAAAACCAAAAACACATTTTTCAGACTTTCAAAATTTCTGTTTTGTTTAGCATTTGTTTTTTACATAGCTTTGCCAGCTTTCTACTATTTACTAGAAAAAAAAATTGAAATTTATTGTGAATCGCGCTGGTATCTATTTCGGATCAAAGACAGCATGATTCAGTAATAAAAATGTGATAAGCTGGCAGTTTTCTCGCTCCAAGGCCCCGTTTTAAAATTTACTTGAAAAATAGCTTTAAGTGTAAAATTTTACTAAGTATGCAGTAGTATATATGTATGTAGTTCCACGAATTTAATTATATACATGCACTTATAAAACACATTTCATATATCAACTAATGGAGAGAAATATTTAATTTTGAGTAAGTTCGTATTTCGTAAAAAGTGCCAAATTTCATGCAAAAACTATTATATAAATCGACATTTCAAACCATGTATATAACTTATAGAAATTCAAAAAAATTCCATCAAAATTTCGAACTTTTTATTAAAATTTTTACAAAAAAATTTAGTATGCGGTTTTAAAGTCCATTAAATCTTCAAGTGGCTACAAAATACTGCTGAATTTTGGCATCTTTTTTTGCTGGCAATGACACGCATTTCTTCCATACAAAGCATGATCGATATTTTTTTTATATAAAAGAAAATGAATGAATGAAAAAAATTATTTTTTTTTAAATTAACTTGGAGCTGAAAGGCGAATATGAACTCCCTAATTTTTTCAAAGTAAAGCATAACTAAAAAAAAATTGGAAAAATGCTTTTGTGTTGGAAGAATTTAGTACAATTAAATTAGGGTCGAATACTGGTAACCTGAAGATTTTTTATTAAAAATTCTTTCTACCCAGTGTTAAAATTTCCTATTTTTTGAAAAAAAATATTTCTAATAAAAAAAGTAAAATTAATATTTGACGTTTACACATTTGCTAGTACTTGACTGAGCTTCTCCTACAATTTGGGGTGTGCGCCTTGTCACGCAACCAAAAGGCAATTGGTTTTGATGAAAAGCCATTTTTTATGCCAGAGGTTTTTTTTTGATGTTGCTCGGACCAGGAATCGAACCCTAAACAACCTATGAATGGAAGTGCCGCGGCCGCCTTCTTTCGCCCTAATCGAAATTCCTAATCCATTTTCGGCGCCCCTTAGAAAATGTGAACCCCGTATAAGCCATATTTTCAAGAGTGGACCAAAAAGGCCCACTACACATCAAATGTTAAATTTACTTCATGAGCTCTATTCTCTAAACTGGTTAAGAAATAAACAAGAAAACCATTTTTTGAAAAGGCGTAGAGAATTCGATAAGTTAATTTTATCAACATAAAAAACGTTTGATTTTGACCAGTCTGTTAAGCATCATTGCATTAAAAAAAAATCAACTTGAACGAATGCTTCTTACCCAATTTTCAGCATATGACTATGAAAAAATTCATTTACTCATTCATTTTTGTCTCGGATCATTGTTCTCTTGAAGAACAAACCAGGATATAAAGAATACTTAGTTTACAAAACTTTTGTTTTGTGAAGCATCCCCAAAAATGAACTCTGCTTGGATGTTTCACAGATCGCTGGAGCAGGTAGCTGCCTTTAGTGGGCCAGACAAACTTGATGGTGTTTGTCATTTGAAAGGTAGACTCGTCTGTTCTGTACAAAAATTATAAAAAATCTGCAAAGTTTCATCTAAATTTTCAACTTTTTATTGAGCTCTTTCTGAATTTGTTTGAGTATACAGTGTTATAGCCCATTAAATTCCAATAAAGTGCAAGTTTGAAGTTGCTAAAAATCGCATTGATTTTTGGGATCTTTTTTTTAACTTATGTACATATATTCTTCCATATAAAGTATGTATGTATATTCAACAATTTTTTTGTGTGGGAAAAATGGGTAATACCGTCAGAAAAAAAAAATATCTAAAATCAACGCGGTTTTCTAACAACTTAATGGGCTATAGAACTGCAAATTAAAAAAATTCGAATATTTTATAATTTTTACATGACGTTTGAAACTTGGATTTGTATAGTGCTTGCTATGTAATGATACAGACTTTTATGAAAAAATAATAGACATTAAATAAACAAAAGAAAATTAGTCAAAATTGATCAACACGCTGCTGACCTTATTAGCTGATCACAAGTGTATGGACATGTTCGGCTCGTGTCACTCTTCCGTTTTTATTAAAATGAGTGGGGGACCTCTGCATTGACTAATTGCCCTTAATTAAGTAAAAATCACATTTGGGGAGCCACTCCATTATTAAAACAGAACGAGACTATGCAGCATTTCACTTTCTAAGGGTAATTAGAATTATACATAGTACATATGTACTATGTACAGGGGCGCACCCAGGAATATATTTTAGGGGGGGGTTTTATATTTCTGAAGATATATCACCGGAAAATACTGAAAATTTGCTTGATAATACGCTCTTTAAAATACATTTATGCAAGTTTTATGTACAGTATGTAATAAATAAATAAACGTTTTAAAATTCATAAACTGCACTTTATTTACATAAGATTAACAGAACTCAAACACTTTTAACCGACTTCAAAAAAGGGGAGGTTATCAATTCGCCGGAATACATAACTTTTTTACCACGTGAACCGATTTCAATAATCCTTTTTTTATTGGAAAGATGGTACCTCAAGGGTCGTCCCGTAATTTGGTTTAGAGATCCGATGATTGGATCATGAAGAAATTAACGGTACCCCTAAATTTGTATATGAGAATTGAAGTCGGTTGTGTTCTTTCCTTAAAAACTACTTGTTTAATAAAAAGTTCTATAAACTCAAGATGCGCTCAACTTTCAAAAGTACCTAATACAAAATTTTAAAAAAGAGTCAGTAAAAATAAATTTATTGATTCCATGAATTTTTGCACTTCTATGTTCATTTTTTCGATTTCTGGTTTTCGATAGAGATGGTGATTTTTCACGATTGCTAAATTTTTTTAATATTTCAAATACCGAAAAAATTAACTGAACTCTCAACAAAAACGAAAAATTCATATAAAACGACGGACGAGAATTGAAAAGAAATTTTCTTCTACCAAAATGTTTTAAATCAGTTTGCAGCTCTCAAGAAAAAAATACTCGTATATTTATTCCCTCATGGAAATTTACAGCAAAAGCAAAGCGCTTTTTCAAGCAACAGAAATTATAATAAATATTTCTTATAATTTCCTTGAGAGCTAGATTCTTAGCTTTAAGATACAGTTTGTATTTGAGGTTATTAGCTTTAGGGGGGGGTTTGAACCCCAAAACCCACCCCTTGTGTGCGCTAATGACTATGTATGTCATGTATGTACTGTAAGTATGCATGTATGTATGTACGTAACTGGCATAAATAAAACGCAACTGATGGCTAATCCATCCATCCATCAAAAACCCAATTCAACGACAGCAAAACGTTTGTTGCTTTAACTGTGAAAATTTTAAAGCATTTCTCCACATTTTCTGGTAGCAAGTGACCTCTGACTGAATTCGCTTTACTTTGTCCGATGTACGTTTAAATCTAGTTTATTTTTATTTTATTTTAATTTGTAATGTTTCCAAAAAATCGCATAAACTTGAAATTCTAATGCCGCATTGAAGCGACTGTGACCGAATTTAGTATTCTAAGTGGCATTTATGTAAATATTGCACACATTTTTAATGCGCATGTAAATGTACACATGAGCAGTCTAAGTCACTTCCACACTACATATTACCAATTTATGAGGTAGCACGAGAACTACATATATGTATACATAACTACCCTGCCGGAAAAGGCACTATTTCTAGTGGGCGCGCTTAATTCCTTTTCTAAAAAGCACCTAAAACCCCTAAACAGTTTGTTAAAATTTTTTGTTTGTTCCGAGATAAAATTGGTTTAATTTAATTGTTGGTTTACAAGCTATTCTCGCAGTGCACACAGTTCGAAATATTATTACGTGCTGCGCGTTGTGCCAATAAATGATTAGCTGACATATTTTGTATGCAAGTAAAATTTTTGATGGTTGTGACTTGAATTAAATATTGGAAAAATTGGCATTTTCGTATACTAAATCTGGGTATTTAATGTTGTAAATGCAGTTTTCTGTAGATTTGTATTTCTTTAATAAAATATGTATGTAAATATTTTTCTACCCACACACATATGTATCTATTTTTATTCAAATTCAATGCGTAATTAAATACCAACACAGATAGTTTTCCTACTAAAAACTTGTCTTATTTTTTGCCTTCATAAGTTTTTATCTTAATTAATTTCACACTTTCTGTTGTGACTTTCACGTTTTGCACTGCCTCAAGTTCTTGATTTACAATTTTACTTAATGAAGTACTTGGATAACTTTTGTGGCCAACCAGCTGAAATCTGGCGTGGTTAATTTGATCTGCTGCATAAAAAGAATAAACAGAAAAATCTACTTTCTTTCACTGAAAGCAACGAATTGCTTTCAGCTGTTTTTACTTTATTCTACTTCGTGTGGCATGATTTGTAAGCAAATAAATACATATGTACATATGTTTTATAAATTTTTAATGACCTGAAGAAACAAGACTGCCAAATATTATTTTTTTTGGTGTTAAACTAGAATTGTTAAAGTAATTGAATAAAAAAGAAAGTTCTATTCATTACCCAAGTAGATCACATACATACATGGGTATGTGCATATGTATGTAGTATGTAAGTTAAAAAACAGCGCCAAAAATTTCATTGTTACGATTCCGCTCAAAAATTTTTTAAATTTTTTTTAAATGTTTTTATGCAAATTTTTTAAGCTTAACCCGTTTTGCCATATAAGGGTTTTTTTTTCAAAAGTTCTTGAAGAAACTATTTTTATTCAGAAAAAACTAAATTTTTGGAGAAATTTTCTAATCGGTCCAGCTCGCTTAAATCTTAATATTTTTCCGAAATATTTTGGCGGGCGTCTTCAAATATAATAATGTCTAATGTATATATACATATGTATGTGTGTACTAGGGATGTTGCGAATGTGAAAATCTAGACATCCGCGTATGCACATGCTATTTAATGTCGGATGTAACCTCCTGACTTTCATCTTCACTTGAAAAATGCAACATCATGACAAGATCGTTCTTTAAACACCGCTTACTATGCGAACCAGATGCTTCAGGTTTTTCTAAAGCATTTTCCAAAGAATTCCTCATTCCTATTCTTTTGGCTGTTTCAAAAATTATTTCAGTGTTATTCGTAGTAAGTTTTTGTAATGCATTTTTTATCCCTTCTTCTGTGACTGGTTGCGAATGCGAATACGAATATTTGCAACAACCCTAATATGTACGCACCCAAATGCGCACAAACATATTCGTAATTATTTTGTTATTTTTTCTTTTCCTTTCTTTACTTCCTCGATTGTTAATAAATTCTTTCCAGAGAACAGCTTTGAGTATGATCGAGCCTTTTTGATCACACTCACTAAAAATCAAGCACAAGCGAACGCCACACTCGGCTACTATGTGTTCGATCGAGATGCATACCCGACAGCTGCTTTGGTTACGAACGAGTCTGTTCGATCACCCTCGCTATAAATTGAGCACAAGCGAACACCACACTCGGACACCCGCAGCTAACCCGAAAATTTGTGTAACAATGAAACGGACACCCGAACATTGCGATAAAATGCAGGACAACAAAGAAATTTACGCTGAAGGTAACTGGCGCCAATATGTTCCCACAAAGCATACGAAAATGTTGTTGCTTTGTGCTTGTGCATACGCAATGAAAAAATTAGAAGCGAAGTAGACAAAAATGTTTTTGCATCTATTTCGTATAGTTTCGCGTGGAAAGCTGTGTGTGTATATATTAGAACACAGCCTAAAACTATGTAGGTACATAAGTACTTTAACAAAAAATAAATGTGCACCGAGTGTATAGGGCTTGGGCATTGCCGATCTACACACATTTATACCTAAATGGATGTAGGCGTCGTGATGCCGCATTTTGTATGAGCAAAAATATAAGAAATGGTTAAATGTACACTTAAACAAACTACCGAAAAATTCAACCTTCTCTTTACCCTCTACGCACAAAAACTAAGAACACCGCGATGAGAAGGCAACATTTTTTGTAGAAACAAAAACGTCATAAGCCAATCAAGAAAATTTTGTGCACACTCGGGTTGAAACTCGAACACCCGGGTATATTGAGCTGCAAAGCACCCGAACCCAATCAAGTATGTATGAAAAGCAATCGGGTGTTGTGGCCAACATGTTCGTCTTGAGCTCAGTCGATAACGAACAATACTTCTGCTCGTATACAGAGAACGATGCAAAACGGGTTTTGTTAGATGATCGAGTATACACGAAAATCATGCACTCGCTGCAGATGTCTGATACATACATATCAGGGTGAACCAAATAATCTAAGCTAAATAATTTATGGCCTTAACCTATTTACTGAGAAGAAAATTCTCCCATTTAGGGAATTGAATGACCTACAAGAATATGCCTAGCAATTTTTATCTCAAACGGTTCAATAGTTATAACATTTTCAATGAAAAAAAAAAAACTTTTTACATATTATTTAAATGGAAAATTTCAAATGCCGACTGACACTTTTTAAATTTGGAATAGATATTTTTCCAAATGGNGTATGTATGTACTATCCCTTGTTACTTTCTCATTTCACTGAACATTCATTATAATTAATTATTTTGCCACTTTTGTGTGTGCAGCCTTTTCTGTGGTTTTTGATATTTCTATTTTTCAACGAATCATTGCCATCATTTATAAAATGCACAATTATATTTTTTTTAAATCTATTTTTCGTTTAAGCTCATTTGTTGCATATTGAAAATTTGGTAGTTTTTTTTTGTTGCCTAACGAACCATTAATGAAGATCACTTCATCTGCAGATTTTATCTATTTACGTCTTCCATGAACGTAACTGTGTTCACATAAGTATGTAAGTCTACTATTGTATATATGTATGTATGCAAATGTGTACCAATCGAATATAACGAAATCTTCTCCACGAAATCTCTCTACTCATTGAAAGTGAAAGTGTTGATATTTGGTACGTTTCTCAAATCAGCGATACGCTACTTAAGGGCGCCCAAAAAAAATACATACATATGTACATAAGGTTGGTCAAAAAAAAGTAAAGTCGGAATTTTAATGCTATCACTCCCTATCTATATCGAAAAAAAAATCAAAAAAAATATTTAGAGGTCACTCAAAGCACTCAAAAAATTTTTTTTCACTTTTATTTCAATAAATAAAATATTTCACACAAACAACAAAAAGTATAATCGATAATCGCATGAGGCTATTGCCTGAAAATTTTAAAATGTACTTAGCGGCATTGTGCTACCATGATAGCACGGCCGAGTAATCATAGCCAACTTATGTACAGTAGACGCATCACTGCCCATAAAAAAAGCGGTACTATTTTTCCACTGGAATTATAAAATCTATGTATTATATTTTAAGGTTTCCACCAAATAAACAGTGTTTTTAAATATTTTTTGAAAAAATTACCTCAGATGACTGAGTAGTTTAAGCTTAAAAAGTTTTCATAAAAATATAAAAAAAAATTCTACGGAATCATAATAATGGGATTTTTGATGCTGTGTTTGCACTTTTTTCAAAGACTGTTTTAAGAAAAACTTAAATAACTCAGCAAAACCTTACCTTTTAGACTTATGAGGTATTATTTTCTCACCCTTTTAATTTCTTTGCGAATAAGCTCACGCAAAATATGAAAAAGGGAGGTAAGATAAACGAGTGTCATTCCATGTTGAATTAAGATGTGTTGGTATTGAATAAAAAAAGGACGTGAATGAGTTTTTTTGCAAAGAAACAAAAAGGGTGAGAAAATGATACCTGTGATACCTTATAAGTCTATATCGGAGTAGGTTTTCAAGTTTTTCTTAAATAAATTTTTGAAAAAAGTTAAAAACAGAATCAAAGATCTCATTATTACACTGCCGGAACAAAGTATTGGCACAGCAATTTTTTCACAATATATGCAACAATTTTTATTCCAATATTTTTCCGCCAATTTTGTATAAAATATGGTTCATTCAACAACAAAAAACATTAAAATATAATTCCTAAACTTTGTGCAAAACTCGCGAAAATTCAGAAAATTTTCATCAAAATTTTCAACTTTTTAATCAGATGAGTATGCAGTTTTGTAGCCCATTAAATTCTAGCAAAAAAATGCTAGTTCGCAGTTAGTCAAAAATCGCGTTGATTTTTGAGAATTTTTTTTTTGTTGAAGGTGTTTTGGATTTTTTCCATATAAAGTATTTTCGAAAAGAAATGTTTGTATGGAAGAGACTACGTGAAAAAAATTACCAAAAAACAACGGTAATTCCTAGCTACTTAAAACTTGCACATTATTGTAATAAAACTGATTGGGCTACAAACCTGCTTAATCTGATTAAAAAGTTCACTGAATTTTCGCTAGTTTTGCACAAAGTTTAGGAATTATATTTTTTATGTTTTTTTGTTGTAGAATGGACCATATTTTTATACGTAATTAGCGGAAAAATATTGGAATAAAATCGGTCAGAAAACCTACTATTGATTTTCAAGAATTCTACACCATTTCTACGAAAACTTGTTTTTTTCCATACATAAAATACCTGGAAAACGTTGAGCGCTTTGAGCGACCTCTAAATATTTTTTGATTTCAAAGTAAAAAAAAAGACGGGCATATAATTTTTTCGGTTTAGAACGATCCTAGGCGGGGAGAGTTTAAAATTCAGATTTTACTTTTTCAAATGCATTTTTGGACCACCCTAACGTACATACATACATAAGCACATGTACATATACATATATGTATGTTGTCTTTGAGTATACAGCCACTATGTCAATGGATTCAAAACTTTTTTTTTTGTTTGATTTTATGCTTTTTTGTCTGCATTCTAATTTCCAATAAATAAGCGCTTTCGGCCGTTTTTTGTTTTGTTTGTTTTCCTTTGGTTGTGCGTAAGTTTCATATGTTAATTACTTCAACAATTATTTAATTTAGTTGCATAATATTTTGGTCCAAACGATTGCTTCTTTTTTGTTGGTGTACATATTATTGCTGTCTAAGTCGCAATAAATTAAATAGTCGTAAAATGTTTACTAAATTTATTTGCCTTAAATGTTTGTGTAACATAGCACTTTTGTCAGACAAAAACCCATGGCTGCAAAATAAAGCCGAGTTTAAAATTTGTATATGCATACATATGTACATATGTATGTATGTGTACACCTAATAAACTTTACCGGCGACCTTAAATATATATATGAATGTTCGAAAGTTACAATTTAACAAAATCCTAACCGGCATATTTATTGCAATATTGTAATATTTTACACTTAAGAAAACGTGATGAGAGTCATCAATAGCATTTCTGTAAAAGCCCTCACATTCGGGGCGTTGTCTTGCGTGTTTAATGGGAAATGTTAAAAAATGTATTAATAAAATCATAGTGGTATGGTTAGTGAATCAGCAACAGTTAATACAGTATTAAAAAACCATTTAAACACTAAGTACTTAGATGTAAACATATTCTGAATCCTATCCTCTTATTCATCGTGCATACGAGTCATTTGAAAAATCTCTTTTTTAAATCTTCTTGGGTAAGTCCAATAATATTACTTGATGCATTATAACTTCGTTATGGAATTTCCTCGAAGCGCTTATGCCAATAACTATTTATATTATATTTTAAGTCAGCGATGGGCATACTTACATACATACTTTTGTATTAAAATACTTTGCATACTAAAAATTCATAAACTTACGTACTATTTAGTAATATTTAGGTATGTCTAAATATCACACTATGTATGTGTGTAAAGTACCATACTAATGCCAGTAAATTAAATCTCGCCAGAAATCAATAAACTTTTGATGAGGAAGTGTTTCCATTGTCCATATTTGAAAAACAAATGTTTTGCCGAGTGTACATACTCATAAAAGCAAAACTCGAGAAAAACGGCTTTAAAATTTTGAATTTACATATATGTACTCTAGGGCGGGTCGAAAAACTAATTTTTCTCAAATCCCTTGGTAATAGTGAAAATATATTGTTGCATGAAGTCAACAACNTACAGCTGCGTATCATCAGCGTAAAGATGGATTGATGAGTTTTTACAACACTTCACTATGGGTGCGTTCAGAAATGCATCAAGCCAAAGCATCAGTCTCTTTTATTTCTAAACTATAACTGATGGAAATGTCAAATATGCGCAACGACGGTTAAAAGCCGAATTGGAACTTAGTTGCTCAAATAAAACATTTCCATCAATTATAGTTTAGAAATAAAAGACTCTGATGCTTTGGCTTGATGCATTTCTGAACGCACCCCAAGCCTGCAAAATATTAGTCTTTTATTTTAATTGTAAGAGCCCGCACATCGACCGCCAAGTGACCTACAGCACACTAGTCGGATAAGACCAATTCTTGTTAAAAATTCTGGGTTCAGCACAAAGGTTTGGTGCATATTATTAGATAATGAATCCGTTAACGCAAAAGATAAAGTGAAATATCATTTCTCTTAGGTTATCGTTAAAATTTTAATTGTTCACTTGGTAATTGCACATTGTATAAATAGCTTTTATGTAAATAAAAGAACCGGATTACAGAAAAGTGTGCCAGGGAGTGACTTTTTTCGTTCAAGCTGAATGCAAATCAATATCGTCCAATTGGAGAGTCCTCAAAAGGATTTCCCAGGATATGTTGAAGACTATCGCATTTACCTACTCTCACTTTTTCACATAATGGAATTAACTAAAATATTTATGTAAATCTAAACACTTATTGCACGTCCCCTACTTTCATATTAGAAAGCAAATTTAGAAACCGCGAAAAATGTGCTTCTTCGGTGACTAGTAAAACCATTCCGCTCTAATTTTCAAGACTGCATAAATGGACTTAAATTGGCCGTTTCTCACCCTAATTGAATGATATTGATGTATGTAAATACATAGATGCACGAAACTACTATTAACTAATCGAACGATTCCTTATCTTTGAAATACATGTTTGACTACATTCACCACGATCTTGAAATCTGACCAAATCGGCGTGACCAAGTCCATGGTCCTTTCAGTGTTATATTAACATCCCAAAACATTAAAACGTATAAATTAAATCTCGTCTCACTTTTTTGTATTTTTCACTTGGTTACTGAAATAATGGAGAATTGAAAAATCATAAGGGAAAATTATAGTTTTTGTAAGTTTTATCTTAATATCTTAAAAACTTGTAAACTTATTGAAGAATGATAAATAAACGCGAGGTACTAAATTTAATAACCCTTAATTTGACATATCGTTTTGTTTATAACAATTAACGCATTACATAGATATTACAAGCCAAAGTTTCATTTTCATAATTCATACACTTTGATTGAATTGCGCGGGCTAAAGATAGGTTTTAATTTAATCTTTCGTGGCAATTAACTATTTAATTTTTTTTTAATTTCTTTGTGAAAGTTCTTTAGACTTTCAGGTGGTGCGGTATGGGAACGTACCCATACTACGTGACCAACTTTTTCCAATTTTTAACCACTCTAAGCTAGCCATATGGTTTTCGTATATCAAACTCTTCATTTAGCAGATTTCTATTTTTCGATCACATCATTATGTCATTTTAAGGTTTATCCAGATGAATTCAGATATAGTTAAAGAACTTTTTTCAGTATCTGCAATGATTTACGAAATACATATTTGTTCATTACAATAAGGCAATTCATTTGCAATTACATTGATGCATTCACCAAAACAATTATTCAAGCTCGACATTAGCCGGGTTTTATTTGTCCAGAAAATTAAGCTATTAGCTTATTTTGTATGGAGGACTTACCCAACATAATTATATTGGCTTATAACAAGCTATCTTGGCTTGTATATTGAACAAGAGGCATTGCCATTCAGTTTCAGAAATTTTCTCCTTCAGCCAATCAGAAAGAGGCAAAAACTTACTTTGACACTATTTGCAGTCAAACAATTGTCAAAATTAGGTTAACATAGAAAATAAGCTAATTTCGTTTTATTTGACCAAGATTTAGCTATTTGCTTGTGATGGTTGAATAAAACATGCCTTATTATGAATTTTTCGGGAGTACCAGCAAAACTCTAAATTAAGCTTACAGTGTATTTTTTTAAATACATAATCGTGTACATATGTATGTATGTACGTTGATTTGACATTGCCGCCTATAAGTATGCACCGAATTTTAAATTTTGGATTTAACAGCAAACAGCTACGATCGCTGTTAAATCGCTGCTGTTAGTGATGATCGCAAGGTGAATGCTAATTAAAATGAGAAATAATTAATTTTTGCATACAGTCATGGGCGGAGAAATGGCCGAAACATTGCTAAAACTAAAAAAGCATAAAACAAAATTACTTAGTTTGAAAACAAAAAGTGCATTATGCTTCAGGCTATGTTTTTATATAAGAGTGTCCATCTAAAGGTCGCTAACAAGGTGGCTAGTCCGCCCGCAGATTTCCGATTTTCAAAAATAAGGGCTACTCTAATGTGCATACTTACATACATACAGGCGAATATAAAGGCGCTCATACTATGTACATATTCCAGGTAGTATTTAAATTTTTATTTGCTGGCATTGCTTTTTTTTGGTTTAGCCCACCATCTTAGTAAAAAGATTGAAGGTCATTAAAAGTTAAATTAAAAAAAAGCCCACATGTAGTGTAAATTTTTGTGTATTTAGTTAAATTTTCCTAAATGCTAAAAATAAATTAACTTAAGTACTAAATAATTAGCAACTATGTGTGTATAATACACATTTCGTTTCAATTTATAATAAAAGCATTTAAAATTTAATACCAAAATACTTCGAGCATGTTGTGTGTAAATTTTTAAAATGTCTCTATTGCTTTTAATATTTTAGTAATCTTTCCTTTTATCCTTCTCATTGCACGCTATTTTCGTGGCGTTCATTTTTTGGCTTGGTTTCAATTTAGCGCCGCTGCTACTGTCCTCATAAATTCGTATGCCTCCTCGCCCGATTCCACAATGTAGTGCGGTGGCATCAAGTAGCCATAGCGCCCTTGGTCCTTTAGAAATACATTGTAAACGTATTGTGGATTAATGCGCTGCTGCACCCAATCGGCCGAGTTGCCAGCGCGCGCAAGTTTCAGTCGATAGCTAGTGCCTATACGGTACTCGGCTTGATTCAATTTACGGAAATTCTAAAAAGTAAACAACACATAAAAAAAAGAAAGGCACTTGTAAAAGAGGCTACAAACAAAAGCTTGGAGAAAAGGCGAACAAACAATGGACAGCATTTTAGTGGCCAGCAAATTGATTTTTTGTGCCCTTAAAATTGCTGCACATACCCACATACATACATACATATGTATGTGTGTACTAGTAGTAACTCACCAACATTGCACGTCGCGCCACATAATGCAGTTGCCGTTGGTTGTCCGTCACGTAGTCTGCATCACCCCATGGATAGGTGATCGCTTGCCCGTAGGCGCCAAAAGACACATATGCACCCAAATATTCACGCATGTTGTGCAGGAATGTACGTATCGCCTTCGTTTCCGGTTCGGAAAATTGCTTTGGTCCTCTGTATAAATTCTTACAAGGATTCTCCGACGCACCCGACCCACCCCACTGATAATCAAAATTGCGATTCAAATTTACGCCATAGCAGCCAGTTTTTCTATCGAAATAACGATTCTTCGACCAGAGGCGGTCGGTGATGCGCGAATATTGATAGCCATCGGGATTCGCTACCGGCAGGAAATACCAATCAATGTTGCGCATGTAGGCCGGCTCTTGATCCCACAGCCAGGTTAATTTCGAGATGGCGCTGGTGAGGGCAGCTGGAGTGAGCCAATCGCGCGCCTGCATGCCGGCGTCAATAAAGATAGCCCAGTTTTTGGGGTTGCCATTAGAGATACTGCAAAAGTAGTGGGAGTTGATTTATTTCATTAAAACAATTAAAAATTAATAATTGATTTGTATTTAAAATACAAGATAATAACTCCTAACTCAAAAGAGATAACTCTCAACTCACCGCAGTACCTCCAAAGGCCGTTTATAANTGTACCATCATCCGGTTTCGACCGGAAGTGGGCTAAACTGGCCGGAAGTGCACTATTTTAACCGGAAGTCCATTCCATAAAAAAATTTCCGACAAAGGTTATGTTTTTCTGTCTGCAAAATTCGAATCTATGGTGAAAACATGTATGCCTTATATAAAAAGTGGATTTCGGGTCAGTTTAACCAAAATCCGGCCGAAACCGGAAGTCAGTAATACGACCAAAAGATAGAGTGGATATCCCCGATCTAATTTTTTTTCTCCAATAAAAAGAAGTCCAGGACGAGTTGAAGTTGAATGGTCATTTAGAGCTTGGAAAATGCACTTCCGAGAAAAAGTTTCAAACAAAATTTACTATTTTTATTGGTGACTAGCAAATACCCGGCGTGCTTCACCACGCGTTAAACGTATTTTTGTGTTCTTTGATACCGTATTGATATATTTCATTTATTTACCAATATCGTTAAATAAAAATTTTCAAATAGATGGCAACCCTCCTCAACAATATTTTCGAAAGTAAATTTTTCTAAACTTCTTTAGTTTGATGCCCATTTTACAATTTAATTTATCTTATCAATTATTCGCTTGAATGGAATTTGATTTTTAAAAAAGTTGCAACGCTCTTTAAAAATATTTCAGAAATGAAGCTTTCCTAAATTTCTTTCGATTGACATCCATATTATTAAGGTGGTATCCATCATCAAAAATACCTGCGAAATAAATGTTTCTTAAACCTATTTCCTTTGCCATTACAATTGTAATACTTCGTTAAATTTCTGTATATTAGATAATATAATTGAGCCTAACTTTTTAAATAGGTGGCAACCCCTTTCGGAAATGTTTTCGAAATGAAGGCTTCGCAAATCATTTAACTTCTTAATAAAATAGAATCCAACTTTTTAAATAAGTGGCAAAAATGTTTTCGAAATAATAAAATATTTTTAAATCTCGCTCGCTTGATATCCATTTTGTAAAATTTGGTTGAACTTATAATTTAAATTTAATTTAAAATAGGTGGCGACTCTCTTTAAACAATGTCATATGTTAAACCAGGCTTTATGTCAAGTTTTATCCAAATCCGCTGAACCGGTTTAGCGTTCGAGAATAACAAACATACATATTTACACACTCCCTAACTCAAAAATTTCAAATAGTACACCCAGAAAAAAGTCAGCTAAGAATATTTATCTCTACATATGATTTGTTTATAGTTACTATTGGGGTATTCACAATGGTGTCGTAAGTGTCGTATT